GTGTGTGGGAGAGCGCCCAGGAAGGGCTGATGGAGGGGCTGGATCCTGCCTCCTGTGAGGAAAGGCTGGGGGAGCTGGGGCAGTTCAGCCTGGAGAGCACTGAGAGGGAATCTCATCAATGTGCAGAAACACCTTGAGGGAGGGTGACAGAGAACAGAGCCCAGCTCTTTCCAGGGTACCCAGTGACAGGGACAGAGGCAGGGAACACAAACTGGACACGGAAGGCTCCTCCCAAACATCAGGAAACACTTTGTCACTGTGAGGGTGAACAAGTACTGCAACAGGTTGAGTCCTCAAAAGACACCTGGACACAGGCAGCCTGCTCTACATGGTCCTGCTTGAATAAAGGACAGAGGGCTTGGATAAAATCACAGAGCTCCCTGTCAGTCTTAGCTAGCCTGTAATTCCGTAAGATCCACAGGCAAATTATCTGTTTCAAAGGCTCTATTTTATTTGCAATCTGCCATCTACAGTTTTCATTTGAAGCCTTCTAACTCCAGAAAACAACTGCCTTCTCTCCATCCCTTCCTTCCCTCACAATCTTACAGACCTTTCTCATGCTTTGGTTATCAGTTTGTCAAATCTTAGCCTCAGCTTATCGGGTTCCTCCTCACACAGCTGCAGTTCTATTGCTTCACTTGCTATTTCTGCCTTTTTCCAAACCTTTCCCAAAACAGCTCGCTCTGGGGAGCATTGTGACACTGGAAAGTCCCAGGTCACAAACAGCAGGAGACACCTACAGTGAATTTATAGGCCTCAGTCATTTACAGAAGATGAAATTGAGGTCTCAGAGAGGAGACAGGCACAGTATTGACTGGTAAGCTGATAAATCAACACACAGCTTTGGGAGGCTGTGCCTGCTTGTTTGCACCAGGAGGATCACTCTGATGAGGGAGCTCCAGATGGACCTTCTGAACTGTCCTAAAGCTGCATCTGCTCACCATCCCAGTGTGGCCAAACCCCTTTACACTGTCCCTCTTTGGGGCCAGAGTGGAACCTGTCCAAATTCATCCCTAAAGGACTCTGAGGATGATATTGCTGGGGTTCAAAAGTCATCCCTATCCTTGAATTTAGAGGGGTGGAATCTGGTGCCGAGGTTTTGCATGGCTTGCCTACACATCTCCCACTCTCCTTCAGTCAGTGAAGCTCTCTTTGTTTGGACCCATCATTTTCTGGCATATGAATTGAGAAACAGCAATTGCCAGAGGTGCTGAAGCACTGCAATTTAGCTCTGGGTTGCTGGGCAGCGATTTAAACTACCATAATTTCAAGAGATCCATAGAGGAACCCTTCCCTAATTGAGCCTTTTTGCTTCAGTCAGAGATGCTTATATGGAGGACAATGAGTCACTATAGGAAACATCAATATGAGAAGTCGCTGGGAAGGAACAAGACTGAGTTCAAACTGCCCACAAACTTCCTGCAAATTTCAGTTCAGCAACAGCATTTCACAAAATAAACCTTTTCTAAAGTATTTTTTGAGAGCTGCAGTTTGGGTTTTTTTGTTATTTTAAGAGAGAGAAAAAAAGGTAAAGACACACACAAGAAAAAGAGCAACAGCAGTCCTGTTCTCTAGCTTGTGAAGCATTTTCTGGTTGAGAACTGAGACTTGGGAAAGGAAGTCAAGGATGAGTAGGAGCTCCTTGCCTGCAGCAAAGCACAGGGTGAAGTCACAGCTCCTGGCCTGGGTTTGTGGTCAGAGCAGCTCGTGAGGGAGCTCAGAGGGTGACTCTGGAGCAGGGCTTTATATCTCTCCAGCCATATCCTCCACCCCAACAATGACTTTGCTTTGAATCTGTATGAGCAGAGGAGAGTAGGGTGTGTGCCTGGGAGTAGGATGTGAGCTCACACCTCAGCCAGCACCACTCACCCTTTCTGATTAAGGCAACCCTGTTTCCTTGCACTCCCCTAATAAACCCAGTTATTCCTTCTTGTCCCAGCTTCTGAACACATTAATTAAAAGCATCTGGGGCCAGTCTATCCTAGCGTGCAGGTGAATGTCTTTTCAGTATTCATCAAGCTTCATTCTCTGGTGTCTGGTGACAATTTTATCTTCCTCTGGGGAAACAAAAGAAGGAGAGATGATGTTGCTGTAAAGAGATGCTAATCGCACTATGGGGATCTCCTCAAGAATTCGCAGAGCTCTTTGTTGTGGGATGCTGGGTCTCCTTGTCCTTAGCTCTGTCTTTCCTCTCTGATTTCTAGAGGGGGTTGAAGTTATAAAGATCTTGAAGGGCAAGGGAAGGGCATTATTTAATATTGCATCTCAGAGAATGCCACAAGATGTTTTGAATTGGGTCTGCCTTTTCATTGCACATGTGCAGTGCCTACTTGACAGGGACAGGGATCTGCTCTCACCCTGCGTCAGAGGGGAGGGGTTGCTTTTTTCCTGCTATGAATTTTGGTCCCTTTCTGGTTTACCAAGAGCTGAAAATGGATTGCTGTCCATACATATGCATTTCTTCTTCTGGAGTTTGACAGAGCTTGGGGAGTCTCTGGAGGAACAGTGGAGCCTGGTGTGGAAGGAAGATGGTTTTGGATGGGACTGACAGTGACTGGCACCTTCAGGTGACTGTGGTTTTCTGCAACACTGCCAACAGCAAAATCCACCTCCTAATTACATAACCCAGGGGCCATTTTCTCCTCCTCCAGCACAAGCCCATTTGCAGTCTGTAGGTACATCCAAGACCTGTGCTCCCAGACACAGCCTAAGAGCCAGGCATCTTCTGCTTGGGTCCCAGCTGCAGGGAACAGCACCCAGCTGGGCTGTAGGCTGATGGTTGAGATCAGCAGTGACAATGAGGCCTGCTTTGCTACGTCCATCAACATGGACCCTTCATGATGCCTGCAGGTGAGGTTACACAGAGCCAGACCTGCCTTGCAAGCTGTCCCCAGTGTCTGACAAGCAGCCTAGCATGTTCTGAGAGTGCCAGATGCCTGCAAAGCCTTTTGGATCTGCATGCCACATCCCAATGCATGCCACATCCCAATG